ATAATCCTTTCTGGATTACAATCCGCCATCAAATTGATTCATTTAATTATTCTGGCTGCTGTGAGAAAAGGCTATAAACGATCCTCCACCTGCAGGATCCTCACATGCGATAGCCTAGTAGCCGGGACAACTTCTTTGTGTTTACAGGCGTGACGTAATGACACAGTGCCATGCTAGAATTTCCCACGAAAACCTACTAGCACTCAAATTAGAAGACATTATTATAAGCTAACCATTGTGAATCGGGCTAAAGTAAGGCGATAGTTTTGAACACTGGCTGGTTATGTACTTACTCAAATATTGATTTTGGATCATTTTTAACCAAAAAAAGTTAAGGACTGCAGCTTTAAGTAAAGATCATGTTCCATGAAGATATTTTGTAAATTTCCTACTGTACATATAATTTTCACTGTATATTTTCATCTGAACAAGTAAGTAACAAGTCTGCCACGTTTGTTCTGACCAACTGAGGATAAAAGCATTACAATAAATCGTGCTACCAATGGTAATTAAATCTAACGATCGATTAGCTCATATCACATCAAACTGTGCAAATGATTATTGTTATACTTTATTCTCAGATTATTAATGTTAACATCAGCATTGCGTGACTATGAGTATAGTGTGTATAAGATTTCAATTTCTGTACAGTCTAATCTCTAATTGTCATACCATTTGAATTTCATACCAAGAAATTATTTTAACCCAAAAAGCAAATTATGCTCCCTTCGAACTGGTTTTCTTTAAAATACAAATCTTTGTAATCCCAGGCTATCTGTAATCAGAAGCACATTTATAACTGGAATATACTTTAATTTCATTCACATGTGTTTCAAATAATCCTTTCTGGATTACAATCCGCCATCAAAATGATACATTATTCTGGCTGCTGTGAGAAAAGGATATAAACGATCGGCCACCTGACTTTATTTGGACAACTTTAAAGGCGATTTTCTCAGTATTTTGATTTTTTTGCACCCTCAGATTCCAGATTTTCAAATAGTTGTATCTCGGCCAAAAACAAACCATATATCAATGGAAAGCTTATTTATTCAGCTTTCAGATGATGTATAAATCTCAATTTCGAAAAATTGACCCTTATGACTGGTTTTGTGGTCCAGGGTCACAATTGACCAATGCCAATAATCACAAAATGAACAGATGTTGGCTGATTAGAATACCAGACTGATTCATATTGGTCTTTCCTCTCAGTAGTAACCACTGGCATTGAAATAATATGAACGTTTGTTTGTATGTGTATGCAGGCCCAGGAAAGGACCAGGAGGAGCTAAGGAGGAAGGTGGAGAACGGCGTGAGGGAACTGTGGTATTTCGTACGCAGTGAGTTGAAGAAACTAGCACTGGTGGAGACTGGAGCGTTACAGAAACATGTGGACACACTCCTGCAGGACCTTGGACACCAGCAGAGGTTATAACACACATCCAGTATATGTAAACATCAGCAATTCACTCATATAGACATTTTGGCCGATACAGCAGATCGGTCTGCATTATACTGTAAATCCACACTTCCTTTCAAATGTTTGAGGTGGTAAGATCTTTCTATTTTAATATATATATATATTTTTTTTTTTAATGTATTCTTGTGATGCAAAGATTAATTTTCAGCAGCCATTACTCCAGTCTTCAGTGTTATATCCTTCAGAAATCAGTCTAATATGCTGATTTGCTGATGAAAAATAATTTCTTATTATTAGCAATGTTGAAAACAGTTATGCTGCTTAATATTTTTATGAAAACCGTCATTTTATTTCAGTATTTTTTGATGAATAGAAAGTTCAAAAGAACAGCATTTGTTAGAAATATAAACAATTTGTAACATTATAAAGGTTTTTACTGCCCCTGCTAAATGAAGTATCAATTTCTTAATAAAAAGTATTAATTGTTTAAAGAAAAAAAACTTTTAAATGGTAAATGTGTAAATGCATTTCCAATTAAATATATGCTCACACCAGTATGAGAAATTAACCTTATTTATTTATATTTGCTCTGTGTAATAGATTTTTAAGACTTTTTTTCCTTTTTAATGTCATATTTTTTTCTAAACATAAAACACAGCATTCTGTCCATTTATGATAAATACCTCAACTGAATCGATTAAAATTTCCCAGTCTAAACCATTATGGTTGTAAATTATTAAATCAAATCAAATCAACATCAAATACAACAGTAGATGTAAATATAGATAGATAGATAGATAGATAGATAGATCATAATATAATAATATAGGATACATGTGAAATGATTAGCTGGTCCCCATACAACTTTCATCAAATCTTTATTACACCAATAACTGAAATTCACTTCAGGGGCTTTCCCCCCATGTTTTCAATATCTAAGGCCTCAAAACATTTTGTTGTACAATAGAAGACATGAATAACAGTTTAATACTTTTGAATCCCAGCATAGAGGAGAAATACATATCCATAATGCACATATATGCAGACTTTGCATCCTTTTTTTGTGCAAGCTCTATTTCACTTGTCCTAATCATGTGCTACATTTTAATAAAGTGGAAAAATCCTATCCATCTCTAATCTCTTTCTAAACAGCTGTAATCTCATGGCGCTGTAATACCATTGCTGAGGTTTAATGAGTGTGTATGTTTAGATCAGTGCGTTTGCTCGCACTTCAGAAAAAAGACGTCCATGTAATGCTGAAAAGCCGACAAAGTAATTACTAGAGCAGTTTTAATTGTATTGTGGATGATTAGCAGTGCATAGGCCAGGCTGACTTTAGTTTGTGACTGTAAAACTAATTTAATATTATTTCTTTACAAAATGTTCTGTAATTAGCCATAATCAATTGGCTTAATTAGCAGCTGTGTTTTACAGTGGTCTTTATGCAATCTTTAGGTCCATCATGACAGACTTGTATCATCTGAGCCAGGCGGACGGTGCTGGAGACTGGAGAGAGAAGGAAGCTAAAGAACTGTCCGACCTAGTACAGAACAGAATCACATACTTACAGGTACACCACATATACACACATTTGTTTTTTCCTTTTTTTTCTGTCTTTCTTTCTTTCTTTAGGAAGGTTTTATTATGACATTTTCATTCATTTGACCCCTGACGTGGTTGAGATTTTGATTCAACGCTGTAACTCAAATCTTTTGAATCATGTTGACTAAAAAGATTAATTCAGATTTGTGAACTGATTCACTCAGTGTACCTTATATAATTATGCCTGTTGGTGGTTATAAGTGAGTCTTTTTCTGTCATGAATGAGTCACTGAATCATTTGCTCAACCAATTCATTACAAAACAAGTATTATTTTATGTTAAAACTTGTGTGTTGAAACTCTAATAAGAGGCTCTTGAAAGAGTGTTTAATTTAATGTAATAAAAGTGCTACTCTGAGACTCCAACTGTTATTTGCTCATGTCTTTAAGGGCAGGAAAGCAGTCTAATTTTTTAAAAGGAAGATACTTCAGTGAACAAAAATGTGAGTTAGTGTGTGGAAATGATCTGTTCATGTAAAAGATGCAAAAACAGTGATTTGTTCATAACCATTGGATGCTATTTTTAATTTGAAAGGAACGAAATAGAGGCTATGAGGGATGGAAGTACACAACAGTATGACATATTCAATGGACTCTACTTCTATCCCAAAATAGATCCAAACTTTCAAGATTGGGCTGGATCAAATGTAAAAAAGTGAGAAATTTCCATTGAACAACCTATATTGCATGGCTCATATGAATGTTGGGGTCCCCCTCCATATCTAAAGCGTTTGGCACTACTTCCAACCCTCACAGCCTCAGTTTTGACTGCATATTTTGTTTGTTTTTCAAATTCGGTTGTGAATACAGTCTATGGCTGAACAAGATCACATTCATTCACCCTCCTCCTTCCCTCTCCCCGTATATCAATGAGAGGGGTGATTATATTGCAGTTGGCGGGACAGCAGTATTTTGTCCCTCTCTCTGAGATGGGATGGGGCGGTTGTTTGCGCTGACTCCACACTGGAGACTAAACTGACATTCAGCTGCAACACAATGCAGTGCCTCGCACAAGCACACAGGCTGAAACCAGCAGAGCTCAGCTTGATTTTGTGTGTTTAACCTGTAGCCTGAACTTCTCCAGCTGAAAGACTTCAGACCACAGACACATGCTGAAGTTACGGTTTGAATGTCAACAGCACATTGAGGCATTAGACAACTGATGCTTTTACCTGATAATCTCCATATTTATAACTGCATATTTGTGATAGATTTATCTTTAAGTTTCATAAAGCAGTGGTATGAAAGGGGTCGCATGTCTGCAATTCCAAGTGCAAATAATAAAATATGGCTTTATAATAGGAGAACAAAATAAATAGGCTTATCTTTTTAATTAATAGGCTTAGTTATTAATAGGCTTTCAATGTCATTTACTTTAAAGCTCAAGGCCATACGTCCAATCAAACTCTACAGTAGGTGCAAATTCATTTTTCATTCAAGTCATTTAGCAGAAGCTAGCTAAATGGCAAAATGGAAATTTCTCATTCACAAAAACATTATTATTATGAAATAATCAAAATTAAATTGTCTGTTTATTTACTGTACTTAGTCATGTAATACAGAAAATTAAATTTTTTTCCAATTTATCATATATACACTGCCGTTCAAAAGTTTGGGGTCTGTAAGTTACAGTCAGGATTCCTGCTCAGTATGGAAAAGTATGGAATTAAATTTTTGTAATTTCCAGGTCTGGATAAGTATGGAAAAATGTTTGTTCAAGCAGAGTGTTTTTTAATGAAAAGTGTGAAAACATATCAAACATAATATTACATTTTCAGCTAAGGAAAGTTATTTTAAATTGTAATTATATTTCACAATATCACTGTTATTATTGTATTTTTAATCACCTTGGTGAGCATAAGAATATATACACTGTGTGTGTGTGTGTGTGTGTGACAGTGTGTGTATATATATATGTATATATATCCTCCTATTAAATGTTTTGAATGTCATCAAATGTAAATCATTGTTATTATGGCCATTTTTATTAATACTAATGATAATGCTGCATGAAACCAGTGTAATATGGGTCAAAAGAAGCCCATTTCTGGTTTGATATTGATGATGGTTAAGTATTTGGCCTTTTTATATTGTATTATAACCTACTCATTTGGCCTAGGGGAAAACTTTTGTGCTACTAGTACTATGTTAACTTTGACTAATAGCTTTGTGTCAGTGCTCTCCATCAGAGAGACATGTTAGAGCGGTAATGAGAGCTGGAGTGTGATTAAAGTGATGGAGTGTATTTTACTTTGTGTGTGAGAGACAGACAGGTTGATAACAAAGAAGCTGTGTCTCTTGTGAGAAATGACAGTTCTCTGTCTGTCTCACTACACTGCTGTCATCCATCTCTTATCTACAGTGCTCTCTCTCTCTCTCTCTCTCTCTTGCTCCTTTCTTTCGCTATACTCCAGTCATTCGCCTCTCTATTGTCTTAGTATGAGAGAAACAGCGATAGATGGAGGGACCATTTTCCGTCCTGTTTGTTTCGTCTTCTTTCATCTAGCCAAGATCATTCAGACATGATATTATTCTGGTGTCAGAGCCAAATGTATCATTTCCTCCTGCACATACTAAAAATATTTTCATGCATGAGATGATTGGAGAGTTTCAAAAACCTTGACAAATCTGCTTCTTTATGTTTTTTGTTTTTTTTGTATTCTATCACGTTTTTATCTTACTGATATTCTTGAAAGATGTATTATACAAATGTCTTGAACAGCACGGTACAGAAGTCACACTTCAGCTGTCAAATACAAATGTCTGTGGTGTTTTTGACATCTAGCAGATCAAGGAACCTGCTGGACCATAAAAATGCCATATACAGCAGCCTCAAGCTGTATTTCTACTCATGTAATGGAATTCAGATGTTTGTTTTAAATGTGATTTCTTTGTCTAAACGTGTCCACTGTATGTGTAGAAATCTCTTCAGTCATCTCTCTCTACTGATCTGTATCTGCAGAACCCTCAGGACTGCAGCAAGGCTCGCAAGCTGGTGTGTAACATCAATAAGGGTTGTGGTTACGGCTGCCAGCTGCATCATGTGGTCTACTGCTTCATGATTGCCTATGGCACACAGCGCACCATCATACTGGAGTCGCAGAACTGGCGCTACGCCACCGGTGGATGGGAGACTGTCTTTAAACCCGTTAGCGAGACTTGCACTGACCGCACGGGGGCCTCCACTGGACACTGGTCTGGTCAGTAACACACATGCCCCTCAAATTAGACACAACACATAACAACACGTAACATAAAAGGTTAAAAAATGCGACTAAACTAAATCACGCCTCAAGGATTATTATAATGATTACTTATTAAAGAGGTCATATTCTACATTTTAGAATTACACTACCAGTGAAAATTTGGGGATTATTAAGGTTTTTGAAAGAAGTCATTAATGCTCCCCAAGGATGTTTATTTGATCAAAAATATGGTAAAACAGTATTATTGTGAAATGAACGAAACTTCAATAGAGGTTTGTGCTCTCTCATCCTTTAATAACAGATTTTTGCAAAGCCTAGATAATAGAGTCAATACTATATATTTTATTGTTCATACTCATTTCCCATATTTTAATATTCAGATTGCCTTTGCCATCATCTAATGTTCTCTTAATCTTTAAAAACACTAATAATTTAATAGCACTATTAAATGTAATCTTTACTGAATATCCATTTTTCATAGTGTACATTGTAATATTGATTTGATTTGTAATATTGCTTGAATGATTGAATTGATTGTAGTTCTAAGTGTTTATAATAGTGTAAAGTTTTATTATCAGTCATTTATTGGTTATTGACCATAACAAAAAGCATATAGTCAGCTAATCAGTATTGACAGAATTTTGAAATTAGTGCATCCTTAAAGGCAAAGTAAGTGATTTTTCAAAAACACTTTAGAAAACTGTTTCGGGCCGATAACATTGGTTTTGCTTTGTTTCACAGAACTAATCGTTGCCTGGGTTGCGTACGTATATGTGGGGCGGAGCTATCAAAATAGGGGCAAGACCCTTTTGGGGTAGGGGCGTGTTTGTTTTGGTGATTTCAAATATCAACATTGGCTACCAGAAATCCCTTACTCTGCCTTTAATTACATTCAGTCCACACTGAAATTCCATATGTTTTGTTTTTTTTACATTTATTTAATAATGGACGTTTTTAAAACGTTCATTTGGAAAGCATACTAATGGTCTTTTTTTATATACACTGACCCGCTGTAAGAGTCTGTCAAATAGGCTAAACCCAGCATTCAGGGGAATCTCTCTACAGCTGGAGTGAACCTGCTGTGCTCTTAAAAGCAAAGCAGAGGGGAAGGAGAGACTGCCTTTAAAACATGAAAGAAATTACCTCAAAACAAAGCAGCGATTTCCCATCACTCTTTCCTCCCAGAGGACACAATCTCTCTTAGTTCGCCCTAAAGCCTGAGTTTCTGCACTCCACGGACCAGCGAGATTGACAGAGATGGAGACTGAGCAAGCGAGTTATATTAAACATGCTATTCCAACTCATTCCATTACATTTATGCATTTGCCAGGCACTTTTATCCAAAGCGACTTACAATGTTCAAGTATTGAGCTCGAAGTGGGCCGGGACTCACTGCTTTTCACATTCCCTGGGAATTGAACCCGTGACCTCGGTATTGCTAGCGCAATGCCATCAGTTTTCACACATTAGCATTAACATCTTGGATTCTCTTAATATACGCACATACTGGCGGTGCCCAAATGAATTCAGCCTAATTGTAGTCAAGCTTTCGAGAGATGGTTCTCAATAATGTACATAACATAACCCTGTTAAAGCCTCTAGTTATGACACGCACCGGGTCAAAGGGCAGGCCAAATCCTTCAGGATAATCCTGCTGGCGTTTAGAGAAAATACCCCCAGCAACAGGCACACCCAAACACACGCAGCATTAAAATGAATCAGTGTTGCTTCAGCGGTACACACGCACAGACAGCATGAATTAAAAAATAATAAAGAAGCCACC